GATGTAGCTCACCAAGGCCTTCTTTCAAGACACCTGTGAACAGACTCTCACCTCCAACCTTCCCATTAGCAAGCAAAGGTTGTAGTGATTTGCACCACCAAGGGACTCTGTGTAGATAGATATAAGATAATTTTTAACTAGAAACTTTCAGTGTCAAGTTGGAAATTAGGAATTTATCTAAACACCTTACTTGCGTATTCAATGGTCTCCTTGACGTCTCCATTTGAATTTCTTAAAAGAATCTCAAAGTTATGTCCAAATCAAATTACTGCTAATTCTTCTCTTTCTGATTATCTATTTTCCTCATGCAACAAATGACATAGCCACTCCCCTAGTTTTACATACTTTTTAATCCATGTTGAGTTTATTTTCAGGTCATGTGTCTACCTCCAGCTCACTATGTCCATTTATATTTAGCTGCTATCATTTTTCATATGGAGAATTCTTAATCTTTAATACTTCCACTTTTTATTAGTCACTGCCAGCTAAATTCTGATTGATGGTAACTCCATGTGGACAGAGTAGAACGGCTACAGAGGGTTCTTACTCTAGGTGTATTTGAACCACCAACCTTTCCGTTAATAGTCAGGAAGTTAATGTGTGTGCTACCCAAGAACTCCACTACCACTTTAGCTATCTTTCATATTAAGTTTACATTGCAACCAGACAATCTTAAAAAAAAAGCAGTAATACCTTCAAATATAGCACTGATTGACATGGTGGCACCACACCAGGCTTTGTTTTGCTTACATGGGTCACTATGATTCAGAACCTACGCAACACAATGATAACAATAACAGTTGCTATTATCTGAAATCTATGATACTAGATGATTTTTGTAATTTTTTTGCCATCTATTCTGTGAAGACAGGACCATATCTTTTTGTTCCTTCCTTTATCACTATCTGTCACAGTTTTTGAAATACAGGAGATTCTTAATCAATTGTGATGAATGAAAAAATAAAAAGCAAAAGAAAGGAGGCTAAGTACTGAAAGAGTCATAGGGTACAAAAATCAGCATTTTTTTTTCTTTACAATGTTCTTCTCTTCACAATGTTTACCATGAACTCCAGCTGGATAATCAATCATTGGATGTGATGTTTAGCACATGTTTAGTGTCAGTCTGTGAAGAACAGTTCAGTTCTCTCCTTAAATGAATTTATATTACGGCTTAAGGAAGGGCATGGATGCACAGAAAGCAAGGTTTCTACATCCCACCAAGTTGTTTCTGAGTCACAGCGACCCTGGGTACAAAGAACAGAGCAGCGCTCATTCCTGTGCGGAGGTACGTTTGAGCGCTTTGTTGCAGTCACCGTCTCGTTCTGTCTTAAGGGTCTTCCTTAGCAATACTAACAACACAATCTGAAAATTTAGCTGACCAAACGCTACAATGAGTAAGAGACGCTACAGTGCAGCATATCATTATGAAATGGGTGACTCATGCAATCAGTATTTTATTTGCTCAAAGAAAGAAAGATCTCTTGGGACAGTAGAAAGCCTTTCTGGAAAGGAAAGGGGAAACGCATGCCTTTGTTGGTGCATTTGCTTCTGTGGGTAATATCTGAGAGCAGCAGAAAAGCTGCAGAACTTGCCTGACTTCTCTGGGTGGAGCTAGCAAGGGATTCCTTAGAAGGTTTCCAGTAAGTGCTGGTCTTCCTTGATTACGTGAGGCGCTTGCTGTTCTCAGCCAGAGGGAAGGTACAAGCTCCAGCTCGCTGATAACAGCAACTAAGTGGGCAGCAGGTCCTTCAATCGGAGCCACACGTACTCTTGCAAACACATCGCTTTGTTTTGTTCTGTTTTTGATACTGGAGTTCACGCCAAGGACGAAACGGCGTTTGGTTTCGGGTTGGTTTTTATTTATTTATCTTTGCGTGTTTCCTTAACAGCCAGTTATGCTTAGACACTATCTTTGTTTAAGTGGAATAATAACTAGGATGAGGTTTGAACTATACAAAGAGAAAAATAAAAGTGATTTTTTTTAGTTTGGACTATATTTTTATTACGGAAGTCACCCTAGAGCCCTCGGAATTCCTATGTTTATTCATTATGGCTCAGAATCAGCTCAATGACAGTGGGGTTTTTGGATTATATTACTGAATTCTGGGTTGAGAAGTATAAAGTGTGTAAAACTTCCCCAGAAATTAATCAGCACAATCATTAGATGTCTGAGGAGGAGGATTGTTTTCTTAGCCCAGTTAAGTTTGAAAGAGAAAAGGAAAGCCATCTCCCAAGATTTATTGGTTATAAGATTTCAACTCAATAAGTAGAACATGTATTTGTGTCCTTCATTAAGAAACCCCTATCTCTAAGACCTTCCTTAGGCTAACAACGGAATATCTGTCTTGACATATCTGGGTATCTCAGGCTTATCACTGCGGTACCATAAGAAAACAAACTCATTGCCGTAGAGTTGATGCTGATGCCTGGCAACCCCACAGCACAGGGTGGAGCGGCCCTATGAGTGTCCGAGACTGTGAATCTGGGCAGTGCCAGAAGGTCTTGTCTTTCTCCGCGGGAACGCCTGGTGACCTCGTGGGTAGCAGTCCAACCCGTAACCATTATACAACCAGGACTCCCTAGAGACCTTCAAATAAACTTGTCTCCCTATTCTCAAGAAAAAACAAATGAAATAAACTAGGCGAAGTTTAGTGCAATCCAAAATAACATGGCGCCAATATGACTCAAACTACAATGGCTGTGCCTATAGGGTGACCACAGGAACTTCCGGATCCCACTTTGTTTCAGATTCACAGGGAGGTAACACTTCTACAGTGCTACGTGATTCATAAGACCAAATTACATATTTGGTAAATAAGATCAAATTACATATTATAATCTCTTTTTTTGTTACTGTATTATTAATTCTTTATTTACTCATTTAATTATACGCTTGTTCATCAAACATGCACTGAGGGCTCGCAGCTAGCTCGCCAGGGAATACTCAGCACTGGAAATGCACAGCAAAGTGGGCACACTGCTCTCCCACATCTCCGTCTAGTCCTGGAGAGACACCACTGCAAAACAGCATGATAATCACTATAGAGGAGTCACGTGCCAGTTCCCTACGTGACCCAAAGGCAGGCGTGTTCATCTTCCGTTGAGGAAAGCAGGCAAAGATCATTTGTCATTGAATAGGCTGGCAATGGCAACTCTAGGTTCTTATTAAAGTTTCTTGAAAATAACAGAGTTTTAATTAAAGAAATTTATTGGAGACGGTGCTGTATTCTATGAAGAGGGACAACAATATGATAAGTCACAGAAGTGTGGATTACACTAATGTGATTATGAAAGAACAAGTAATTCAGTTGAGAAAAGTCTTTGGAATAGGGAATGCAGGCCATTGAAGGTGCACATAAAACATTAATTATAAGCAATGAAGTATTCTCAACCAGGTGTATAAAATGACTCGGGTTTGCTTTCTAGAGATAGTTAGGAGGCTGCCACAAAGGCCAAGGGACAAGTTGCTGAGGAGTTTATTTTTAACCAAACCAACAGAATGGAAAGAAGAGATATAGGTTAAATGAAATATTGAGGCGGTACAATCTATAAGGTGTTATGATTAATTTAGTGGATTTAGGGTAAGGGAAGATTCTATTGGTGTTGTTAGTGTCACAAAAGGATGTAGTAATTGGATAAGAGGAGAATTACCCTGGAGACAGACTTTCCCAACATTACACAGACCTATACTTTCTCACTTCTGCTTCTCAGTAGAATGTTGCTGTTATGCCAAGGCCGTGGCAGTTAGTTGGACCTCCTTTTAGGGAATCAATTCACTAAACAGCCAAAATTCTTCAATGGCTCATACTGGAAATGCCGAGTAAGAAAATGCTGAAGGTATGATGTACAGTGAAACTTATTCCCGAAGCTAGTACCTGTTGTGAATGCCTATGTGTCATAGGGAGATGACTACCATGTAAGGGCATTGGAACCACAAGACAGATTTTGTTATGCTTTATGTCAGATGATCTAGTAATAGAATAATCCCTCAGGAATCAACAAACCAATAGTAGAGGAGATGCTATAGTCAGACATGAATGCAGAAAACTTAGAGTGGCACTTTCTTAAAGATAAAGATACTGCTTTTAAAAATAGTGGAGTGTTTATTCTTTTTTTTTTCTAATCAATTTATTGGGGCTCATAAAATTCATCACAATACATAGATCAATTGTGTAGAGCACATATACATTATTTCATGAATCCTTAAATAACTATGTGGTAAATATTGCTGTTATTCCTTATAGAGGATTGGCGATTTGGATAGATTTTGCCTTACTATTATGAATAAACCATGTACACATCTTCAAAGAAACATAAACTGAAATCCTTGCCTTTGCCTCAAGTCTTTACTAAGACAGGGAGTAAATTTTTCTTAAAACTAATATATTTTCTTACTAATCAGATGTCCAGAATATTTCGGCGTTCTGGAGAAAGCCGGTTCATCAGAACTCATGTCATCAAGCTAAGGTACGTATACCTGGTTTTCAACATCCAACCGATAACCATAGCATGAGATGCTTGACAAAGAGAGTTGATCACTCACTTCAATTCATAAATCCTGAGCAGCCCAGTTAACCCTATTTAACC